AAGAGGAGGCAAGACATGTTCATGTATCTTAATTTGTGTTGAATTGCTTAATGTTTCTCACATAAAAAATCTGCTACTGAGGGGTGCATTGATTATATTCTAAAATCAAGTGTACAACTTGATGCATTTTATATATGCAAGATGTACATTTTATATAATCACAACCCAGAGCAAGATGTAAAGTACTTTTAGTGCTGTAGGTTTCTAGTGCCCTTTCCCAGTTATTAATATTCCATCCCATCAACAGAACTGATACTCCTGAAACATAACTTTATTTGGTTTGTTCTTGAAAATCATGTATGGAATAAAGTTCTATATTTGGCTTTCTTTCCTCACCGCCTGTGAGACTATCTAAGCTTTTGTATCTGTCAGTAAATAGTCATTCCTGCTTAGTATTCCATACCATGAATATGCGTGATTTTTATATTACTTTTCTTGCAAACATTTGGGTTTTCAGTTTTTACTCTTACGGATGAAACTGTTTTGAGCATTCTTTTACTTGTTTCTTGAGAGTATATGCCATCTTATAGGGATATAATTATTAAATCATAATTTAATATGCATTTGTTTATGATAGTAGTTGCCACTGCATTAGTAGAATATATAAAAGCTTTAAAAATTTATTATTTCTGGTGCTGGATAGATAGTACAGTGGTTAAAGTTCTTGCCTTGCACACAGATAACCTTGATTTGACCAGCAATACCACATATGATTCCCTGAACACACCAGGAGTGATCCCTAGGTGCAGAAGCAATATGCCTTGAGCTCAGCTAGGTGTGACTCAAAAACCTAAAAATTTTCATTCTAATCTTCTGTAATTTAGCGATTATAGTGGACATATTAAGAGAATATGGGTTTAGTTATAATTTCCTGGTGATTAATGATGTGGAAAAGCTTTTTTTTTCCTTTTTGGGTCATACCCAGTGATGCACAGGGGTTTCTCCTGGCTCTGCACTCAATAATCACCCCTTGCGGTGCTCAGGAGACCACATGGAATGCTGGGAATCAAACCTGGGTCAGCCCTGTGCAAGGCAAATGCCCTACCCACTGTGCTATCCCTCCAGCTTCTGTAACAGCTTTTAAATGTATGCTTTTTGTTACTCATTTGTTTCTTTTGCTATTTTGTCAGTCTTTCTCTACCAGCTGCCTGTTCAAATCTTTGCCTCCTTGCATTATTTCCTTGTTGTTGTTGTAATTAGGCCACAACTGTTAGTGCCCATGAATTTCTCCTGACTTTGTGCTCATGGTCACTCCTGGTGGTGATGGAGGTGTCGGCTAACATATGTTGGCAGAGAACAAATCAGGAGGGAGGGGCCTTGAGCAGGGCAAGTGCTTTAATTCCCATAATATCTCCCTAGTCTTTTAGTCCATTTTTAAAATAGGGCTACCTCCCAGATGCTTGGTCTATGTGGGCCTCACAAGGGAATGCTGAGGTCCAATTCTGCAGTACTCAAGTCCTGATATTGCTAAGGGGCTCTCACTGGCTATGCTTGAGGACCATGCTGTGTCCCAGCCACGTCGTCTACCACTCTGAGCCATATCCTTGGTCCCTTTTGCCCATTTCTCATTGAACTGTTGTTACAGTTCTTGAATGCATAGCAATTGTTATTATTTCAGTGAATTCTCTTTCAAGATGTTTACTGGGAATACCTTACGTCTGTAGCTTCTTTTACTAGTGTTTTGTTGTTGTTGTTGAAGACAAACTCTTTTACGAGTGCCCCTTTTGTTGAAGAGAAGCTCTTTGATGTAGCCTGATTTACAGATTATTTTGTTTGGTTGTTGTTTTTTGTCTTCTGATCATTAATCACTTTTTATCTGTTAGATAAGAAATATCAATACATTATTTTTGATTGTAGTCATCTCTGATATTTTGACAGATACACGTGTAAAACACACTGCATATTTATTAGCTCTTGAAGTCTTACTGTTTTTATTCCCCTAAAAATTGGATGTGATCTCTCAGGTATAATGAATGATGTTATGTCTTCAAATTAAAATTAAGTATGTTGCTACTTCTTTTTCTTAAGAAAATGTAAAATTAAATATTTAGTAAAAATTAAATGGGTATGCACATTTTGATATGTATTTTCAAAGAAGTATAAAGCACTGCATTGTGGCACTGCCCACCCGTTGTTCATCGATTTTCTGGAGTGGGCACCTATAACGTCTCCATTGTGAGACTTGTTACTGTTTTTGGCATATTGAATATGCCGTGGGGAACTTGCCAGGCTCTGCCGAAAGGAGTAACAAATGCAAACTAAATAAAAAATCAAAACACTTGTAACAAAAGGAGCATATCTATGACTAATGTTATGTTGCAATGTATTTGTTGTTCTAAAGAGTAGTGTATACACACATAGAATTTTCTTACACAATTTGCACAGTGTTACTTTAAAGTTTGATAACTTTTGTCTTTTGAAAACTTTTCATCATGCTAATTTAGGACTTAGGGAAAAGTAAAGAGATAATATAATGAACTTCCATCTGTCCAGTAAGCAGATCTTAACACTTACCATCATTTTTCAAATTTTATTTGTTCCCCATAAACAAGTTTTTCTAGCTATTTTAAAGAAAATTCTATACATCTTATTGTTTTATCTGTGAATACTTAGTAACTCATATGTTTAAACCTATATTTTTGCACAGCTGCTATTCTGTTAGCACTTCCAATAAATTTAGCAAGAACTTCTTGATTTAAGATTTTTTTATTCCTGGCCCATGTTCAAATCAGAATCCAAACAAGTCTTTATATTATTGTTTACTGAAGTTCTAAATTTACCTTTATCTGAATAGTTAATAAATTAAAACATTTTGACTTTAAAGTTAATGGACATGAGCCCTCATGGCACCCTCTTTCTTGGCATATAAAGACACTGGTAATTTGTCCTTTGTTTCTGTATCTCTACTTTGTGCTTTGGAAAAGTATATTAGCCACATATTATATTAGGAAAATGCTTTAGTGAAAGACAACAAATTTGGGTGAATTTTTTATAACTTTTTGTCTAGGTTTTCAGATGATTCAGAGCTTTGAACATTTTTGTCAAAATTATGTGGACATAACAACAAGTACTGTTTGTTTCCTTGGAGCTTAGTAGTCTTGATTTCAAATGTTTTCGTTAAAATTATACATGGCAATGAAGATAGTGCATGTTTGTAATAATGTGATCATAATCAAAATTAATGGCATCACAAACCACAAAGTTTCTCATCATATCTTTGTTTATAGAATGTAGACTTAATATTGCTTGATTACAGTTTCTATAGGAGTTAGAATAAATCTCTAGAGTGTGTGTCCTTGTATGTGTTCTTTGTTTCTTCATACTGGTTGATACTGTACATAAAAATGCAGATCATTCTCCTAGATTGATTTTTACTTTATCTCTTTGTTAATTATTTTATTATAAAACTGATTATTATATAATCCCAAATATTTATAATTTAGGGTTCACTTAAAGATGAAAATAGTGTTACTGATGTTTCTTCAAATAAATACATTTATACGTCTTCAAATAAATATACATATATATTCTTTCATATTTTATGGTCTATGTATTTCAGCAAGCATTAATAGATTTATTATATGAAAAAGAAGAAAATATTTTGGGTAGAATAGTTGGCTTATAGCAGATTATATGTGACATGTTTACACCTATTTCCACAAATTTCACATTCATTTATCTACTTTTGTTTAGTAGGTAGACACGTACTTTTCTATTCTATGCAAGCACTTGACCATAAAGATGCTGAGTTTTTATTGATATGTAGGAATGTTCGTAGTGGTGCTTAAGAGGCCAAGGGACCCCTCCTGGTGACTCTTGACCAGTGATTAACTATGAGGGCCTAAGGGTAGACCACCACAGCGGTGCTGGGGAAGGGGTGTGCCGCGGATACAAATAGTAGTGCTTAAGGGCCGCTAGAATTATACCTGGCAGTGCTTGAAGGAACTGTGAAATGCTGGGATTTGAACTGGTGTTGGCCCCATGCAGGCCATGTTCGTTCTTTCCTTCTTTCTTTCTTTCTTTCTTTCTTTCTTTCTTTCTTTCTTTCTTTCTTTCTTTCTTTCTTTCTTTTCCTTCTTTCTTTCTGGCTTTTAGGGTCACATCTGGCGATGCACAGGGTTCACTCCTGGCTCTGCACTCAGGAATTATCCCTGGCGGTGCTCAGGGGACCGTATGGGATGCTGGAAATCAAACCTGGGTTGGCCACGTGCAAGGCAAATGCCCTACCTGCTGAGCTATTACTCCAGCCCCAGGACATATACTTTACATGTACCCCTGTACTATCTTTTCTGCTTCAGGAAAGTCACCCTCTTACTCCTCCCCCATTGCATTGCCACTGGGGCTACTGTTTTACCCCTGTACTTCTCTCCTACTCCAGAAATGTCATTTTCTTCCCTCTTCCTCACTCACCCCATAGTATTACCACTGAGACTTCACCTGGATTTTCTTTTATGACTGTTCATTTATCATTATATTAAGATCTTTCTAGTAGTACTAGTTTGATTCCTGGTACCCCATATGGTCCTCTTGAGTTATGCTAGGAGTGATCTGAATGCAGAGCCAGGAGTATCTTAACATCACTGGGTATGACTCAAAAGAAATACACCAACAAAAAGATATTACTAGTAGTATATTTGAGTTTCCTTAGATGGTATGAAAAAATCACTTTAGATCTTTAGTTAATTCTTAAATAATGTATTTTGGCCTTAGTCATTAAATACCTATTTGAAATGTTTTGAAACACTGAAAACCAAAATACTAGTTTTGTTCATGTAACTAAGCAAATTATAAGTGAGTCCTTTGAGTAATGAGAGGTCAAGCATATCTTTTATTATATAATAAAAACAGAAAAGAAATATAACAAAGTTTGCCAAAGTATTTTTTAATAAAATTAAATGTAATTCTTTCTGTATATAGCACTTTAATCAAGAGAAGCGCAAGAGATAGATATTCTTGATTCATTGTTCTATTTCATTTTTGTGGATTTTTCTTTTTCCTAGTGGCTTTTCATGGCCTACCATTGAAAATCAAGAAGGAACCCCACAGTCCATGTTCAGAACTCGGCTCAGCCTGCAGTCAAGAACAGCCCTTTAAATTCAGCTATGGAGAAAAGTGCCTGTACAATGTCAGGTAAAGCAAGAAGTCATAAATATATGTAAAGGATGGTAATTCTTATTAAAACAAATATCCACAATAATATAAAATCTCAAGTCATCAGAGTAACTTCTTAGCAAATAATAAGCTAATTAGGTAATGCATTTAGCTGAAGTCTGAAGACCATTTACTATCTGATCACACACTTTTTGAATCATTTTAAAGTAGTAATTTTCATTCCAATCATTAGTAGCTTTCCTGCTGTAGTGATGCATCTTGGGTTTGAAAAGAGGGTCTTACTTGGCACAAATAGCTATTGAAGTTCTTATTAGAATGAATGCATTATGCACTTCAGAGTTTATAGAAAAAAATGAAACATTTGGCAGGTCTAAGCAGTACATTAGTTATCTGACAGGCTTTGCAGATGATCTATACGATGCATTCATGGAGAGTTGCAATAAAGTTAGAATTTTATAAAGCTTAGCAGAGGCTATTATCCATTAAAAAGCCAGTTGTTCTTTCTGATGATAATAAAGGGTGGAGCAGTGAAAGTACAGTGTGTATTTGTTAGAAAATTTGATAACATATATGTTCATTAAAAACACTTCAAAGTAAATTGCAGTCTGATATTTTTCATATTGGTCTGTTATTGCAAAAAGAACAGTTTGGCTCTGTATCTTGAATATCATTATTCTCACTTATACTAGAAACTTAGTTCTTGGTTCATTTGGAAGCTTATAAAAATGATTGTAAATATTTGTAGTTTTATAAATTGCATTGATTAAAAGTTCATAATGCTTTATGATCCAGTTGGTTTTCTTATATCCTGATATATTTATTATATATGCTCTTTATAACCAAGATATATATGATTCAAGGCACTTCTTTTTGTGTAGTCTTCTGCCAGGCTGACCACTGCTTGAATATTCTATTGCTATTTGGTCTTGCAGACTAGTTTTTCATATCTGCTTTCCTAGGAGGTACACTAGATTCTGAAATTATTAGCTAGCTCAACTGAAACTGCAAAGCATTTATTAGAAAAGATCTCTTAAAGTTGTTAATAAAGCATAGTGAGTTCAGATTTAAAAAATTAATCAATCTGATCTTTATAGAAGCTTTTTTTCTTCTTCTTTGGTCACACCTGCGATGATCAGGGGTTACTCCTGGCTCTGCACTCAGGAATTACTCTGGCGGTACTCAGGGGACCATATGGGATGCTGGAAATCAAACCCAGGTTCGCCATGTGCAAGGCAAATGCCCTACCTGCTGTGCTACCACTCCAGCCCCTTTATAGAAGTTTTAACTTTTTCATTTTCTCCTAAAGAGTACTCTGTCTTCACAGAAAAGTTATTAACGTATTGAAGAATTTTTAATTCATTTAACCAAATACAATTTTTAAATGTTGCATTTCACTATTGATTAGAAGTGTGAATGTATAACAACTATTTGTATAATATAACTGACATATATGAATTAACAGTGGAGAAATTGCCTGACTATTTGGAGGTTTTACTTGAAGACCAATAATTTTCATTGAAAAATTTCTATTCCGGACAAAAGTATATCTCAAGATAGAGTTCTTATGTGCATTAGTAATATTTAGGGTGGAAACTAGATCTTTTTATATTTCCCATGGAACTGTGACAGCCACGTCATTTCACGTGAGCTCTCAATTCTCACTTGGAAATACTGGTAACGGGTCTGGAGATAGAGTAAAGTGGGTAAGGGACTTGCCTTATGTGCAAGGGACCTGCCTTACATGCAACCGACCTGTATTCTGTATTTGGCACTACTTAGGGTCTCTAGAGCCCCACGAGAATTGATCCGTGAGCACAAAGCCAGAAGTAAACTGAGCACAGTTGGTGTGATCCCAAATCCAAAAAACAACAAAAACCAAAATATTGATGAAGAAATATTATGAATATTTCTGACTTTGCTTTAAAGGTAGATATATTATGAATCTTACTGACTTTGCTTTAAAGCAATGTGGATAAACAAATATTACTTCAATAAAATTAAGGGAAATAAAAGTAAGAGTATAGTTCCAAAAACATACGTCCTTACTTCTGTAGAGTATGTTTATACATGGATGTGATTTATATCAACTTAATTCGTAACTGAGTCAATTCTGAAGGACCGTTTCTTTTTTAAAGAACAAGGTCATTGATGAAATGTTTTATTTAAGGAATATATAGAATTTAACCTGGAACTAACTTTTTCTTTAAAAGTTTGAGTAAGATCTGTTTCCAATACAGTGTGTTTTAGATTACAATTAAGTAACTAATTAAGGTACTAGAGTGATAGTATAGTGGGTAGGTGCTGACCTTACACATGACTGATCTGGGTTTGATCCCCAGCATCTCATATGGTCCACCAAGTGATCTTTAATGCAAAGCCAGGCGTAAACCTGAACACAGTGAACAAAGCTAGGTGTGTCCCAATAACAAGAAGAAAAAGAAGAAAGCCTAAAAACCCAAAAAAAAGCTAGTTAATTTACCTTCCAGAGATTACATTAATAATAACAAAATAAGCACTTTGTTGTAGACAACTTGAATAATTCACTTCACATAAAACAAGCTCGCTCTGTGTGTGTGAGAAAGAGAGAGAGAGAAAGAGAGAGAGAGAGAGATGGAGGTAGGGAGAGAGAGATTGTGTTTAGAAGCAAAAAGATGGCAATACGATTTTGTTTTTAGGAGCATTATTCTGTACTCATCCTTATACTCCAAGTAAGCTTAAATATATTAGAGACATGTTAATTTGTCTCATTAATCTTTATTGTTCATGTGAGGAAGTTGATACCAAATATCATTTATTTCATATAAGCACTGTAGCACTGTCCTCCCATTGTGAGTGGGCCCAGTAATGTCTCCATTGTGAGATTTGTTACTGTATTTGGCATAACGAATACATCACAGGTAGTTTGCCAGGCTTTGCCATGCAGGCGAAATACTCTCGGGTAGCTTGCCTGGCTCTCTGAGAGGGGCGGAGGAATCGAACTCGATTCAGCCTGGCCGGCGAGTGCAAGGCAAACACCCTACCCGCTGTGCTATCACTCCAGCCCATTTCATATAAAAAGAATGAAAATAAAGCAAAACTATTTCTTAAAATTCTACCATAAAGACCAACCAGGTGTGTTCTTGACCTTATTAAACTGATTTAAGTTTTTGTTCTAAAATATTTTAAAATATAGATGCATAGTATTAAACTTGCTTCATAATTTAGAAAAGATAGATCATACTTTTGTAAGGAGCTGTATCCAGCATAGATTGGTAGTGATATTCCTTAAAGTAAGTTGTTTATATGTGTGTTCATAATGCATAAAATTTTCTATTTATTCTGTTAGAGATTATATCTTAAATATCTTTATTTCAGTTTAACAAGATGGTGATATTTAAGATATCTGAAGTTCTGAAGGCAAAAACAAAAGTGAAATTGTAGCTTTTCTTATGATTAAGCCTCAAAATAATAATTTTCATGGGTTAGAATTTTAGTTTTTGTTTTCTATGGCTTTTTTTTTTCTTCCGGGTAGCTGCAACCTGACAGTGCTCAGCATCTCCTGTTGGCTTTGTTCGCATGCATCACTCCTGGTGGTGCTCAAGGATCATTATTTTTCCGGGGATCTCTAATTCAAGCCTACTGCATGCAAAGTGCTTTGCATTTTACTTAACCAGTTGAGCTAATATATCTAATTCATGTTCTTTTTTTTCTTTTTTTCCCTGGCTAGTGCCTATGATCAGAAGCCACAAGTGGGAATGAGGCCCTCCAACCCCCCAACACCATCCAGCACTCCAGTGTCCCCACTACATCATGCATCTCCAAACTCAGCTCATACTCCGAAACCTGACCGCACATACCCAGCTCACCTCCCTCCATCACAGACCATCCAAGACAATAGCTACCCCATGGACCACAGGTAATCTGAGTGTACCATCTTTTAAAAACTTTCTTTGGCGTTCTGAGAGAAATTCCCATCATCAACTCCAGTGAGAACATTGTAATTTTGAGCACATATGCAAAAATCTTTGTAGAAAGGATTTCTCTACCTTGAGTCATAACTAATTTGTGGAGAAGGTCATCTATAAACTTTTTTATAAGTATTTAAATTAGTTGCTAAAATGGGAAATTAATCTATATACTGACATTTGAACATTTTCCTTTCCCATTGCTTGAATTAAACTGCTTCACTTAAACTTTAAATCAGATCATCCTATTTTTATGAGCATATGTGTGTACTTATTCTATAAAGGTAGAAGACTAATTTTAGTAGATGGCTTATGGAATTAGTTTCTTTACCTTAAACTGAGTTGTTTAGCTGTATATAGTTTTGTGCAGTAGAACTTGATTGAAACTATTTTTCATCATTTCCGATTGATGAACATTTAATGTTTATATGCATAACCCTGGACACTGAAAAGTTAAAGTAAAAAAAATGAATCTGAATTAGTTTTACTGAGATTGGAGAAAGGCAAGAACCGGAGCTAAACCTGGACCTAACTTTGGTGCAACTGTTACAAAAGATGAGTATTGACAACAAGAAAGGAACAAACTCATGTAAATAAAAAAAAAAGGTTGACTATTTTCAGCATCCTTTCTTTATTGTCTATCCTATACTTATATAGAGTAAACTTTGTGCTGGTTGATAAATGTTTAGCAGGCTCTGTGGGAGAAAAACTGAAAGGTTTGGTTTGCAATATTTGATGAATCGGTAATGTAAACATTATCCCTATGGCTGATTATAAATTATCACTGTGACAAGCCGGAATGAGGAATTTTAAAGTGATGTTCAGTACTTTGCCATGGCATTGGACAAATTAAATAAAGAATCTTAAGAGCATAATTAGTAGTAAAATGTAACATACTAGAAAGTATTACATTTTGAATATAATTTTCCCTAGTATAAGTTTAAAGCATTTGTAAATGAACAGTTTCATTCTTACTGGTGGCTGTGTTTAATAATTTAGCTCACAGAATTCCACATGATTTAACAATAAACCAGTGCAAACTGGCTCTAACACACTGTCATAAAAATGACTCAGCCAAAGGAATCTTCTAGATCAACAGCGGAACCAAAAGATGTGCCACTGGCTGCTTTCCGAAAATAAGAGAGTACTCAGATTTACTTTTGATTGAATAGGGTGTTTAAAGGAGACTCAATCTCAAATTATAGCAACTTAGATTATTAGAGAATAAGATGACAGCATTCTTTCCCATGTGAGGCTAAGCTGTATCTTTTCTATCTTTGTTTCCATCACTATATCCTTCTGTGCTTTAGTTATTAAAGGCGTCCTATTGTCTTTCCCTTTTCACCCTGCCGATTTGAGAATGGTATGAGCATCTGTGTAAACAGTTTTGTAAATACAGATGAAAGAGATCTGTTTGCAGGGTGGGCCATTAAACAGAGGCACATTGTGAAGGGCTGGAGAGGGGAAAGAATATGGACCAAAAAAGCAAGTTTTATTTTACCCTCTTCTGCTGACTTCCTAGACCTCTTGATTCCTCAGTTTTCTGACCTTTGCTGCACCACAATTACTCATTGTGCTGTTTTGCTTGTGGTACAGTTATTTCTTATGGAAGGGGCCTGGCAAACAGTCCTACTTCTAGGTGACCTCATATGGAATGCTTTAGCCAAATCCATTTTTATTTCTCTACTTGAAGTCAAATGTTTGAGACCGAGAACAGCCGGCCCGGAACTCAAAGAGGAAAGGTTGGGGTCTTTTCCCAATGTCCCCCCACTGAGTTTTGAGGACAGTACCAGCTGGCCAATCCCAGGAAAACCTCTGAAACCGTATGTTTCTGAGGAGGATTTCTTGAAGGATTCCAGCCCAAAACAACAGTCCCTCAAGTTATAGATGGAAAAATTTGCTCTGGGAACAGATCTTTTCCCCAAATACCCCTTCTGGTTTAAATACCCCTCCTCACTCAGGAAATACTTCTGAGACCAACTGGTCTATATACCCCACTTCTGTTCTTCAGACTCACTCTGCTCCTTAGGTCAACCCTTTGGCATTATTCCCTGATCCGACTGTGCAGGAATCCTACCTTTTTCTCTGTCTCCCTACCAGTAATTACTGTTACTTGTTATTCTACAGCCCATCAACATGATAATAAATGTTCTTCCCAAAGGTGCTTGAGTCATGTAATCCTTACCATTGGTCAGTGACTCATAAGACCGGACCCCAACTTTTAGCTTTCTAGAAGCATGAGTATTTGATGTATGGATGGCTCTTACGAGTATCAGCTGCAATCAGGTTGGCTCGTAAAAACAAATGACTTGATTCCTTACAAAGCTTTTAGTATAAGTATTATTAACTTCCTTTTAAGGCTTCACAAGCAAGCCGGTTTCTTATTTTAACTTCAAGTTACAATTTTCTGATTCACTCCTTGACAGTTCTTAATGATAATTTCTGTTTCTTTTTTTGGCTAATGAAATAAGCAAGAGAAGGGAAATGAATGCAGTGCCAGTCAGCCTTACTGTTTTGCAATATTTGAGTTTCTAAGTTTATTTTCTGCAGGTGTAGGTGGAAATTTCAGTGCATGGCATCCAGGGAGCCTAGAGTTAAATCATAGCATAGTGTGTTCTTAGAAATGCTAACTCAGTTGCTTTCCCATTCTTGAGCTTTTACTTTATTTTTATTTAACATTACCAAAATTAAATGTTAACTTTCCAAATTAAAGTCTCAGGAATGTTTTCATTGGGGATGGGGTGGGGTGGATGGGAATTAATAGCCTTATATTTACTCATTGAAATGTTGGGTAGGTTATTTTTAAGCACTCTTAGGGCATTTTTAGAGCACTTTTAAATCTTTAATTAATCCACATCTTTGTGGTGGGTCAATGTTATTATGGATGAGAAATACAGAATTGAATGAGTGTGTGATTAGCCAATCATTACAGAGGATAGCCAAATAAGGAACAGAGAGATTCACTATTAGCTTATACGAAGGCCTTAGATCTTTTCTATGACCTAATAGCAAATCTATATTCTTTGCATTTTTTAATGTTTTATATATATGTATGTATCCTATACATATGCTTATTCATGTAAACCTCATACTTTATAAAGCTATTGAAAGCTAATTTGTTAATGTGTTACTGTTGACAGTGAAGAGGTTAGGTTTTAAAAACCACTTTGGATTTCAGTTTCTTTTCCAGTTTTGTTATTTACCAGAATACAAATATAATTACAATACTCTTCAGAATTTAAGAAACCTGCACATCTGTAGGGGCTTAGGGGGAATTTGTTCCATTCTTTTCTTTCAGAATTGATTGGGATTCCCATAGTTAATTATAAAAGAAGTGAAAATTAAATTTTAAAAGTAGTTTTTTTATTCGGTTCAGGTTTTTTGTTTGCTGATACAGTTTCATCATAGAATCTGCCCATTTATATCAGACTTTTTGTTTTTTTTTTGTTTTGTCTTTAATGTGTATTGCATGTATATGTGTATGTATACATATATATTTATGTAATAATTTGAGATATCATCATGGAAAGTTTAGTAAATGATCCAATTAAACATTTTAGCTGTTATAATAATCTGTTCTACTATCCTTATTGAAATCACACTTTTAACTTACTCTAATATACTAAAGTGGTGGTGGCAGGAACTATTTAGAGGGGTAATGTAATTTTTGTTATGATTTGAACAAAATGCACCTACCACTGACCCAGATAAGAAAAATTTAGTCTTTCTTAAAAGTTTATACTTCTGGTCAATAGATATCTTGCTCTTCAACCAAAAAGTTAAATATATTGTATCAGAATTTTAAAAATAATGACATGTTACTGTTTTAATTGAAACATGCCTTCTTATTTCCCAGATTTCGTCGCCAACTTTCTGAGCCTTGTAATTCCTTTCCTCCTCTGCCAACGATGCCAAGGGAAGGACGTCCTATGTATCAACGACAAATGTCTGAACCAAACATCCCCTTCCCACCTCAAGGCTTTAAGCAGGAGTATCATGACCCAGTGTATGAACACAACACCATGGTTGGTGGACCAGCCAGCCAAAGCTTCCCCCCTCCGCTGATGATTAAACAAGAACCCAGAGATTTTGCATATGATTCAGGTAGGTCACTGCTTTAATGGAGTTATATTTAGGAGACTTTATTTGTGTGTAACTTTGGCTTTCCTTTTTGTGATGGGGGTGGTGCACCTGGCAGTGCTCAGGGCTTACTCCTGACAGACTCAGGGAGCCATAGTGAGTGCTGGGAATTGAGTCTGGTCAGCCCTGTGAAAGCTAAATGCCCTATCAGCTGTACAATTCCTCCTGCCCTGTTGTGTGTGTGTGTGTGTATGTGTGTTGTGTGCACATGCGTGTGTGTTTTCATCAGACTGAGTCACTCATCACAACATTTTTGGTGTGTAATATTCTGATTTTTATCCTAGTTGAATCTTTTTCTGTATGTGAAGGGTAAGACTACCAAACCATTTTTATATGACTCAATGATTGAGTGAGTATATAGAAGTGAAATCAGGTCAAAGAGAACTACAGTTAGCAAAATTACATATTCTTGGCCCAAGAAAATAACACTCATTATTTTTCTGATTCTGTGCTTTCTTTTCATTTGTTGTAAAACTGGTAACTAATGATACTTATAGAAAATATTTTTTGTATTATATCACATTGCTTTATATTTATGGTTTTGTTTTTTCACATTATTGGTGAATGATACACATAATAGCAAAAATACCAGTTTGGTTTATTCATGAAACTTATCTTCATTTTTCATTTTAGAACTCACCTTTACTTATACTTACTGAACCAGAAATGCTGCACAAAGTAGTATTTTAAGATGCAGAGGGGTGGGTTGCAAAAAAGTAATAAGTGCTTTATATTTATATTCCAAATATAACCAACTTATTTGCCAACATTTGATTTTGAGATTTTTTAAAAAATTACTTGACTCGTTACTGTTTATTTGGCTATAAACTTGAACTTAGAGAACTTTTCACACATATCAAAAATTTTAAAAAATAATCATATAAAATCAAGCACATGGTTATGAGAAGGATAATGTGTACCTACAAGATATTATTGATATGTTTACTGTATTAAAATAGTGTGGTGTGGTAGACATGGAAATATTTTAAAATAAAATAAATTCTTTTGACTGAGGGACTGGGGTGATAGCACAGCGGATAGGGTGTTTGCCTTGCACGCAGCTGACCCAAGTTCGATTCTCAGCATCCCCATATGGTCACCTGAGCACTGCCAGGAGTAATTTCTGAGTGCAGAGCCAAGAGGAACCCCTGTGCATCGCTGGGTGTGACCTAAAAAGCAAAATAATAATAATAATAATAATAATAATTCTTTTGACTGGATACAAAGTTATAGAATCTTTAAGTTTTAACTTTCACTGATGAAACAAAACTGACTCCAGGTCTTAAGTTTCCAATTTTGTTAAAATTTGCCTGAATTATTGCGAATTGTCCTTAAATCTAGCAATAGAGAGTCCTATACCATAGAGCCTCTCTCTGGCATTCTTTGATTGCACACTGCCTTGTTTTGCCAGAAGACTTGAGGACTAGGAGGAAGACATTCATCTACTGCTAGATAGTGTGTCAATAATCCAGGACTCATGATTTCCTTCCCAGCTGATAATAGCTCTACTTCAGAGTTTTAGTGTTTTTTTTTTATTTTGTTCATTTATTTTGAATTTAAGGTCACACCTAGTGTTGCCACAGGCTTGCCACTGTCTCTCTATTCAGGGATCACTCCTGGCTATTCTCAAGTGGCCCATATGTGATGCCAGGGATTGAATCCCAGGTCAGCCACGTGCAAGGCAAGCATCCTGCCTGCTTTACTATTGCTCAGGCTTAGAGTATGTTAGTTTTAGATCCAGTTTGCTGAAGACAGAGAACTCTGCTCCACTGTCTATACCTAGGTTTAAGGAAGTGGTCGAGGGGCAGCTGTTTATAGGAGGATGAGAATTGACCTTTGATGTTTTCATCATATTTGATTCCTGGCCCTCTTATGAAGAACTCTAATGAAGTTGCACACTTATGGCTTCATCTAATCTAGTTGTCTTTCAAAGATACTACTTCCAAGTCCCATACTGAACACAGGTCTTCAAAAATGAATTTGGGGTGACATAATTCACTCAGTTCACCACAGTTTCAGATCTCATTTTAGAGGCCAACAAGATAGTACAAAGTTTAGGTGCTTGCCTTGCCCATGGCTGACCCTGATTTGATCCACAGTACTACATATGACTCTCTGAGCACTACTAAGACCCCTGTGCAGAGATCCAGAGGAAAGCCCTGGGAACCACTAGGTGTGGTCCCTAAAGAAAGAAAATAATAATTAAAAATTATTAAATGTTAATTTTTATTTATTTTTCTCTCCTCTAAATAAGATTTTGTAACATTGAATTCTAATTTTATTATCATCAATGACATACAGCTCGGTTTTACATAAGCAGTTAGATGTATATTCTGATTGTGGCTTAAAGGGTAACAGTATTGCCTGTGACTCTGAAATAAATATTAATCTTTGAGTATGGAAAGGTATTTTACTAGCCACCTAGCTGTTATAAATAAGTTGACACTTGTTGATATAATTTAAAAAGTATAATCTCTATTAGATATTTTGCTTTGTTGTTATAATAAGATCTTTTATTTTTACTGAGAGCACATTAAAAATTGCCATTTAAGGAAGTCTAATGTATCACTGAGTCACACTTTTTTTATGTTCACGTACTGCTACTGAACAAATACCACAGTTTGAAACTATTTTATTCTGAAACAGTAACCCTACATCAGTATCTAAAGGATCAGTTATTGACCTCCTTTGAAGGTCTCTAGAACCCTTTATTGCTTAATTTAATATAACACAAATGTTGTGAAAATTTAAAAAAACTTGGTAAGTTAAAAAGCAGCATGATTATAGTCTAATAAAGCCTGACATTAATTATGACATGGGAAATGGAAGACCTATTAGTTATAATTATAATTACAGGAATGCAATTTTAACTGCCGATTATTTAAGCTAAAAAATGCAAAATATTATGTTAGTAGGGTAGAAATTTATATTCCAGAAAAAAGAAAAAATATTAGAGGACACAGATAAAAATTGATATTTAGGGCTAATTTGGTGGGCCAGAATAGTATCATCATGATTGATTATATTATGATACTAACTTTAAATAACCTAATAATATATTTATTGTTATTTTATACTCTTCCTACTCTTTACTAACCTAACAGAGCTTTATAAATTAACATAAAAGTTTGGGTGGTGTTTCTTGGTTTGTTGTTTGATTGTTATTTCCTGATTCCAAAATGATCTCTTGACCCAATGACTTGGTGACTTATCAGGAGTGCCTTATGCAATGTCCAGTATTTTTAGGAACATGGTAACTTCCCATCTCCATGCTTATATATGAGATTTTTCATGTTCAGAATGCCTACTGATGCTCATGCTTTACATACTTAAAACAACTTAATTTGGTTGAGTTGCATGTATTGCTGAGTGATTGACATTTTGTTTAGTTCATTTTATTTTATTTTATTTTATTTTTGATAGCTCGGGTGGTTGGCACATTAAAATGACTGTTTATTTCAAGAAAATGTTAGCACACAATATTCATTCATGTGTTTTGTTAGAGTGTTATTATTCTGAGGAATGTATCCTAAGGAGTGAAAGCTACATAATGGGTGTATAAGAGGGATAGACGGATCAAGGGATATGAGAACTATAAATATACAGGAAATAACTTACGTGTATATATAACAGAAATATTAAGTCATTAGAAGTTAGAACTATTTGTTGGGTTTCGTTGTTGGAATCACTTCTAGCAGTGTGCAGGAGACATTGGTATCAAAATCACAACTCCTACATTTAAAGCACTCACTCTAGCCTGTTGACTTATCTCTCTGGCTTAGAAGCAAGACTATTGAGTTAAAAAAGACAAGAAAGAAAAATATGTAAGACATGAATCACTGAAATTCAGACCTCATATATAAATGCCAGGCCTGTATATAGAGAATGATATAGGCATCTTCATTTTGTGTATAATGTTCTTTTTATTTTAATAAAATTATATACTATTTTTTGTGATTAGACAGTATACATAGTATAATCTTAAATATCAACAAATTTAGAGTTGAAAAAGAGAATGTTCAGGTCATTTAAACCTGTAAATTAGAGTACTAAGAATTTCATTATAGTTTATAGGTTGCAAACTTAATTGCAAACTGATTTTTTTATTAGTTTGTGTCCAAAGACTGCTTTGGAGAAGGGAGAGTGTACATACAATGCCTGTTGAGTTTCACATTTGTTCATTCATACTACTTGCAGCCTCATTATTTGTGCTATGTTTCACTGCACTTGGCGTGTATTAAAAAAATCTTAATGTAGTTGCTGCTTGGGTGGATAATACATCGATAAGGTGTTTCTAGCCCTCAGTGCCTACTTAGTGACTCATTAATTTAAAAGATGCCTCCCAGCCATGTGGTAGAGAATGCTTAACTTAAGATGTGAATGAAAGGGGGGAAATAAAACTCTCAGGGAGTTTTCTGAAATTAGATAAGGTGAGAAAGTGAGCTTCAGAGGGGAGGGAGTATTAGATGTTGATGGGGGTTGGGATGGGGTGGGTGGAAAGTGTTTCCGTCTTGTTTTTGCTAAAGAAAGTGTTTTTGTGTACGTTAGTGGTTTGATTTAGTGCTACTAATATGAGTCTGGATGAGGCCATCTTTCAATTTGGATTCATAGCAACTGTAGTTACAAATAATGTTAACGCTATTTAAAATTGGGAAATAAATGCAAGAGTTATTTCATAGAATCCTAAATCTTTACCCTCATGATATTTCTTGAAGCTCATCTAGTTCAGATACCTTCTCTACACCCTCAATCTTTTTTTTTTTTAATATTTTTATTTATATGCTTTTCACACTTTGGTTCACCCTTCAAACTCTACAACTTCTTTTTTATTTATTTATTTATTTATTTATTGTTTACATTTTTTTTTTCTTTAACACCCTCAATCTTACAGACAAAATATATGACCAATCAATTACATATATTATGTGAAATAACCTACTAGAACCAAGAATTTTTTTCATTCG